TCCCCCCTTAATCTCCTCTTCTCAAGAGAGAATACATTCAGTTCCTCTAATCTTTCCTCATAGCTGATCTCCTCCATGCCTCGTGTCAGTTTGGTTGCCCTTCTTTGCACTTTCTCCAGTTCCCCAATGTTCTTTTTGTGAATTGGTGGCCAAAACTGAACTGCGTATTCCAGATGAGATATTACTAATGATTAGTACAGGGGTAAAATGATAAATGATGGTAAAATGGGATTTTTAATCTCAGACCCTATATCATTTAAAAATATATTAAAAAGTAAGGGTCCCAACACTGAACCCTGGGGTACACCACTGATGACCCCAGACCATTCAGAGTATGAATAATTAACCACTACTCTCTGAATACGATCTTTTAGCCAGTTTTCTAACCTTTTACATACAGATTTTTCAAAGCCCATAGACTTTACCTTACACAATAGCCGTGTGGGGAACTGTGTCAAATGCTTTTGCAAAATCCAAGTATACCACATCCACCGTCACCCCTCTGTCCAAGGTTTTGCTCACCTCCTCATAAAAAGAAATCAGATTTGTTTGACAACTTCTGTCTTTGATGAATCCATGCTGTCTGTTGCTTAAAATATTTTTTTTCCAGCAAGAACTCATCTGTGTGGTCTTTTATTAAACTCTCCAGTATCTTCCCAACTATAGAAGTTAAACTAACAGGTCTATAATTACTTGGCAAAGATTTTGACCCCTTTTTAAATATTGGCACCACCTTGGCCTTACGCCAATCCAGTGGTACTATGCCAGTCATTAAAGAGTCCCTAAAAATTTGAAACAATGGTTTGAAATGACAGGGCTAAATTCTTTAAGGACCGTGGGTGTATGCCATGCAGTCCAGGTGCTTTATTCACCTTTACACTGTCTAAGTATTTTTGTTTCATATCAATTGTGAGCCAATGTGGATCATCTGGAGCTGTGTCAATACCATGCCCATTATGGACAAGAGCTCCCCCATGCTCCATTGTATACACAGAGCTGAAGAAGGTATTAAATAAATTTGATTTTTCTTTGTCCCCAGTCACCCACTCTAGATTATTTTGTAAAGGGCCTACATGCTCGGACCGGACCTTTTTACTATTAATATATTTGAAGAATTTTTTTGGGGTTGGTCCTGCTATCTTTTGCAATCTGTCATTCGTTTTCAGTTTTTGCAGCCTTTATTTCCTTTTTGCATATTCTGTTATATTCTTTGTAATATTTAAACGATGACAGTGCTCCTATATTGCTGAAGAGACAAGAAAATGATGTCTGCAAAATTCCCACTATCTCACCAGCTACCATCTGATAGGATGCTTTCCTAAAAAAAGTAATGCAGCCAACAATTTAGTCATGGCTGGAATGGCATAACTTTGCTGGTTTGAGGGTTCAAGGTAACCTATGAGTTGGGCATTTAGTTCCATAATTGGTGCCTTGGATAACTGGATATCAGCATCCATGTAATTATCCAACAATGTGTGCTCCTTAAAGCATCTTTCCTTAAAAGGACCTTCTCCTTCTTGATCTTCTCTTCTGCATTACTTTAAATTCCAGAAGATTGTATTCAAAGGGTTCAATCTGTACTACGCAGTCTGCCAGCCTCCAGAGACAACAGCTGAGTGGAATCTAGCTGCCCCCTGCTCCAGCCTGCACTTTCATACCTATTTTTTTAAACCAATCCCTGACCTTCTAACAGGGCCAGATCTAGCCTATCTGATCTGGGGGTGCAGTAAAAAAAAGTCAGGGGGCAGAATGTCAATAGCTTGACAGACATACAAGGAACCAGTATTCCCTGTTCACTCGGCATACTTCTGTACCACTGAGTCATAATTCAGAAGTAATGTTTGACAGGTAGTGCAGAGGCAGTACAGAAATGAACAGGAAATGCTGGTATATATTAGGCTATCATTAGATTAGGGTGATTAAACAGAACTTGTGCCCCCTTATATCAGATATCCCTATTAGAGTTCCTCCTCATATCAGGAATCCTCCTCAGAGTTCCTAGAAGAGCTCCTATAAGAGTCCCCCTGACATCGGGTGTCCTCACCAGAGTGCCCCTTACAAAAAAAATGGCTATATCAAAGTGCCCCCTTACATCAATTGCCTCATCAGAGTGCCCCTTACATCAATTGCCTCACCAGAGTACCCCCCTCAGAGTGCCGTCTTTACATCAACTGTCCCCATCAGAGTTCCCCCTTACATCAACTGTCCCCAGCAGAGTTCCCCCTTACATCAACTGTTCCCATCAAGTGCATCCACAAAGCCATGAGACTCTCAAAGATCTGGGGGGCACAACTAAAATCTAGGTGGGCATAGCCCACCCCAGTACCCCCCTAGATCTGGGCCTGCCTCCTAAACCAGGTCTGACGATTCCTATACTTATTGCAAGCCTAGACCACTACATAATTACAGCATGCATTTATTTATTTCCTTCTATGAGTTGACTTTAACGCCTTTTTATGTGGTATTTACCAAACGTTTTTTGCTGTTTGCGGTGAATACCACACACAAGCAAGAGTGAATTGACATTTTCATTATCACGTGATATTATTACACATGATTTATATAGCGCCAACAGTTTGCACAGCGCTTTACAATATAAAGGGAGACTACAATTACAATACAGCTCAGTACAGAAGGAATAGGAGGGCCCTGCTCATGGAGCTTACAATCTAAAGCAGTGGCCCTTCAACTGCAGCCCGTGAACCAAATGCAGCCCTTTGCCTGCCTCTATCTGGCCCTGTGGTACTATTCCTCCCAATGACACCAATAAGGAGGCACCATTTCTTCCACTGTCACTTATTATGGGGCATTTTTCCTTCCACTGACACCAATGATGTGGCACAATTCCTCCCACTGATATAAACAATTAGGTACTATTCCTTCAACTAATACCAAGGGTGAGGAACTATTCCTCCAACTAATACCAAGGATGGGGCACTATTCCTTCCTCTGATACCAATGATGGGGTACTATTCGTCCCACTGACACCAATAATGGGGTACTATTTGTCCCACTGACACCAGTGATGGGGTACTATTTTTCCCACTGACACCAGTGATGGGGCACTATTCCTCCCACTGATACCAATGATGGGGGTACTATTCCTTCCACTAATACCAATGATGGGGCACTATTCATCCCACTGATACCAATGATGGGACACTATTCCTTCCACTTATACCAATGATGAGGCACTATTCCTCCCACTGACACCAATGATGGGGCACTGTTCCTCCCACTGATACCAATGATGGGGCACTGTTCCTTCCACTAATACCAATGATGGGGCACTATTCCTTCCACTAATACCAATGATGGGGCACTATTCCTGCCACTGATACCAATGATGGGGCACTATTCCTCCCACTGACACCAATGATGGGGCACTATTCCTCCCACTGACACCAATGATGGGGCACTATTCCTCCCACTGACACCAATGATGGAGCACTATTCCTCCCACTGACACCAATGATGGAGCACTATTCCTCCCACTGACACCAATGATTGGGCACTATTCCTCCCACTAATACCAATGATGGGGCACTATACCTCCCACTAATACCAATGACTGGACACTATTCCTCCTATTCCCCACCTTCCACTGACTACAAGCACTATGTCATTTGTTTTTTACTCCTATTAACGCTGGGAGATTTATTACTCCCACTGGCCACTCCGGCCCTCCTAAAGTCTGAAGGACAGTAAACCGGCCCTTTGTTTAGAGAGTGCGGAGACCCCTGATCTAAAGGAAAGGGGAGGTGGTACAAAATGTGATAGCTACAGGGGATGATGGACATGTGATCACGTGACCGACATAACGCATTCCATAACCTTTAGAGTATTTTCCCCATTGTAACAATTGCCTTTCATGTTGTGGGTAAGCACAGACATGGGTTACAGATTTATATGCCCCACGTGAATTAGAGCTAACCCGAATTTCTGCTTTTTTGCACTTCATTGAGTGTTGAGACGGGTCTTTCCCGGCTCTGCAGCTACAGTAAACCGTGAGGCCGGGAATGACGTGTCCTGCAGCTCGTTGGAGTACAAAAGAAGGGACGTTTGGGTTAGAGATGTTCCAGAGGATTCTTCATCTATAGAGATGACATAGTGTGCAAGGGACGGAGCGGCTGCAGGAGTCCTGGAAATCATGCAATCACAGGCACTGGGAAGTGTTAATTCTCTGCCAGATTATCATTGTATGTAACTTGTCATCTTGAACAAATTGTGAAAAATGAGAGCTACTGTACATTCATGTTTTACTGACGGGATGCATGGACTTGGGGCTTGCTACACATGGTGACTAGATTGCTTGAACCCCGGAGGTAGCTGAATGTGCTAGATAATTGCCATGTATATATGGCCAGCATTCACATCAAAAGCTAACACTAGGCAGTGTTCACCAATTTCTTCCTATTGGTGACTATTTTCTACTATAAAAGCTTAAAGAATCATAACTGGAGCTGGATCCACAAACAAAAGAAATCCTCCTCTCAGCTACCATGACTCTTCAAGGTCACATGATAAAAGCCATCACTCTCTTTAAGGCGCCATGTTTGTTGCTGGTAATCCTCATCCAGCTTCCAGACTGGTAACTGCGCTTTTTGTATGCTTTTTTGTAAACCAACTGCAAATAGTCTCCGTGTTTGAATACTACCGCTCTTCAGAGGTCCGAAGTATTCAACTATTTCGAGTAACTAGGACGTCTTCCCTTTTCAAAGATGGCGCCGGGACCGTCAGCAGAGGTGACTCTACGCCTCTGCCCTGTCGGCTCTGCTGTGGATCGAAATGGCTTTAAATCTATGTCACAGTATTCCTCCCGGCTTTAGGGCTGTGTTTTACCGACTGCAAAGAAAAATGAAAGGAGAACTAGCGGCAGAAAAAGCGAGTCGCAGCGGTGACGTCATGGTCCGCGCCGGTTAGGAAGAGATTCTAGTTGCTGTGGGAACCGTGGATGCGTGCTTTCACCGGGTACAGCCAGGTTCCTGGGTTGCAGAACCATGCAGTTTGTAGATGAGACTGTGGAGGGGGTTGCTGTGGAGTCTGTATGGAGGAAATCCCAGGAGAGCCGCTGCGAGTCTGTGAGTGTCCAGAGCTCCTCACACACAGGCAGGCCTGGAAATCATGGACCTGTCATGAGGCCATGGATAACTTCCTTCCTATCACTATCACACTCCAGTCATAATTGAAAAGCCTGGCCACAAGAGATCTTTCATTGCACTGAATGGACATCTGGAGGAGTTCATCGCTCTTCCCCGCCCCTGGAGGTTGTGGTGCCACCACCCTCCATCAATGCTGATTTATCCATATACATTTTATTGCCAAAAGTATAGGGACACCCCTCTAAATCATGTGATTCAGGTGTTCCAATCCCTCCATGGCCACAGGTGTATACAATCAAGCCCCTAGGCATGCAGACTGCTTCTACAAACATTGGTGAAAGAATGGGTCGCTCTCAGGAGCTCAGTGACTCCAAGCGTGGGTCCTGTGATAGGTTGCCACCTGTGCAATAAGTCCATCCGTGACATTTCCTTGTTACTAAATATTCCACGACCAACTGTTAGTGGGATTATAACAAAGTGGAAGCAACTGGGAAAAACAGCAACTCAGCCACCAAGTGGTAGGCCACGTAAAATGGCAGAGCGGGGTCAGCGCATGCTGAAGTGCATAGTGAGCAGAAGCCTTACTTAACTATGAGTAAGGCCTTGATAGGCTGAAACGCCTTAGTGTTGGCTCTGTTTGGAACATGTGTACACCTTGGCTGAAACAAAAAGAAATTGTATTCATCCTCATTTAGATGTGCTGCCCGCCTACCGCCTCCCCCTTAAAGCTGGACGAAATAAAGAGAAATGTATTAATTCTCACCTGGTTGACAAATTTGTCTACATGGGTGGACTCTTGTGTTGTGGGGTGGAGACCGCAAGTCAGGCACGGTGAGTGGAAACGGAGAGCTCTTGCCGGCGCTGATTGCATGATTGGGTTGGAGTGCCATTATCTCACGTGTGTTTGCACATGTAAATGAAGTCTAATGGAGATGAGTTTAGAGAAATCCTGAGCTCATCTCCATTCCCAGGCAGAGACCTAAACCCAAATGTACTCTGTTTGACCCTCTTGTGGCTTTATATGAGCTCTCAGAGTGCCGAGACCAGCATTATTCTGCACTGGAAAAGTGCCATTCTCCAAAAGGGGACACAAAAAACAACTGTTTTCTATATGCTCTGTTCATTTTAGAACGTTGGTGCATGGTATTGTGTGGTAGCCTTCAACATGTCTGCATTTTTGTGCACTGCACTGCAGCTCTCTATCTGTTCCTGAGTTTCTATGCACTGCAGTTGAGGTGGATTTACTAAAGGTAAATAGACTGTTCACTTTGCAGGAGAAGTTTCCCTTAAAGTGATTTTAAAGGCTCAAGGTTTTTTACCTTCATGTAGTCTATGGTTTACATGAGCCTCCTCTGATCCAGTGACGTTTTTGACAGCCTCTGCTGTCTGGGGACTCTTCCTTCCTGCTCATTGGCTGAGACAGCAGCGGTTGTGTCAGCCACAGCCAGTGAGGGGACGAGTCTGCAGTGGTGCCCCAGGGATGAGTGGCTTTCCTTGGGGGCACAGCTTAAGGGGGAGGAGCCAGGAGCGCGCTGGTGGGGACCTGAAAAGAAGAGGATCAGGGCTGCTCAGGAGTAAGTATAGACATGTTTGTTGTTTGAAAAAAAACCTGAAGCTTTAATGTCATTTTAACTTAGTGAATGTGGTAAAAATTCCTGTTGCAAAGAATACCCAATCACATACAAGGAAAATAATGATGGATGATGGAAGTCAACAGAGTTTCACCTTCTTCATGAAACTGGGGGAAATTCTTTAGCAGTAGTAAACAGCCTATTTTCCTCCAGTATATCAACCTCTGTGTGGAGGCTGCCCTTGGTTCAGGCAGGGCCTTGCCCTTTAACATGATCATTTAATGGCTTGATTAAAGCATGCCTCTCTCTATTTTATAGAAAAGCTGCCAGACACAGCCCATCGCCACCGGAGAGTTATCGGCACAAGTGGGCACAGTCATTGAGGCTGGAACCCAGACTGAATGGAAACATGACCAGAGAGCCTTGGATATTGACCTTGGGCCACTTCTAGATTATCCAGATGTGGGGATGTTTCTCAAACGTGTGGAAGAAGATATGATCAGAGAACTAAAGAAAAACTGGAGAAGTCATGCATTTGATGGCTATGAAGTGACCTGGGAAGAGCCAAATTCACAGGTAAGATAAATTTTAATTCTGGAACAGATCCATCTCTGCAGTGCATTTGCATTCTGCAGCCAATACTGCAAACTGCCCACTCCAAGCTGTTAAGACGTTTTTTTTTTTTTTTGTGTGGGCAATGATAACTCTTAAAGTGGTTGTAAAAGCAGCAGGGTTTTTTTCCCTACATCAATCTATGTGGCAAGAAAAAAAAAACCTTCTGCATGCAGCTTCCCCTGCAGCCCCCCCAGATACATACCTGAGCCCGATCTCAGTCCAGCTATGGGCACGAGAGCCAAGGCTTTCCCAGCTCTCTGCCTCCTCATTGGCTCAGATACAGCAGCGGGAGCTATTGGCCCCTGCTGCTGTCAATCACATCCATTGTGGAGGGGTGGGGATGAGCCCTGCTCTGTATTCACATAGCATAGGGGGAGGAGCGCTAGCGGGGGACCCAAGAAGAGGAGGATCGAGGCTGTTCTGTGCAAAACCAATGCACAGAGCAGGTAAGTATGACATGTTTGTTATTTTAAGAAAACCATACCTTTAATATCACATTAACCACTTGCCGACCACTCCATAATAGATGTATTGCTACAAGGCAGGGACGCTGTGCAAAAGCACATAAATATATGTGATTTTACAATTCCGGGTAGGGTGCGTGCGCGTGCTCTGCCCTGCCCACACTACGATTGGTTCCTGAGAATGTCAATCACCGGGTCCCGGCTGAATCAACACAGATCTCTCTCCTGTCAGCTTGGATGTGCTGCTTTCTATCTCTCTGCCCCAGATGTTAACCCCTTCTTGCCCAGTGTCATTAGTACAGTGTCAGTGCTTTTTATTAGTACTGATCACTGAATTAGTGTTACTGGAGATATCAGTGGCAGTTTGTCAGTTCCCACCCAGTGTCACAATGCCCGCCGCTGTCCCGCTAAAAGTTGCTGATCGCCACCATTACTAGTATAAAATAAATAAATAAAAATTCCAGTATATATACTGTGATTTGTAGACGCTATAAATTTCATGTAAACCAATTAATATACACTTATTGAGATTTTTTTTTTTTTAGCAAAGACGTGTAGCAGAATACATTTTGGCCTAAATTTATGAAGAAATTTTATTTATTGTATTTTTTTATAGCGCAAAAAATTAAATTGCAGAGGTGATCAAATACCACTGAAAGAAAGCTGTATTTGTGGGAAATAAATTACAAAAATTTCATTTATGTACAGCGTTGCATGACGGTGCAATTGTCAGTTAACACAGCACCATATCTCAAAAAATGGCCTGATCAGGAAGGGGGGTAAATCTTCCGGAGGTCAAGTGGTTAAAGTGATGCTAAAGTCTATTTTTTTTTTCTTCTTAAAAATAAACATACTTGCCTGCTCTGTTTGGTGGTTTTGCACAGAACAGCCCGGATCCTCCTCTTCTCAGGTCCCCCTCTGACGCTTCTGGTTCATCCCTCCTGTCGGTTACCCCCATAGCAAACAGCTTGCTCTGGGGGCACCTGAGCAGGTGCTCTCCCGAGCAGCCGCTGCTCTGTATGTCCATTCACACACAGAGCCACGGCTTGGCCCTGTCCCCTCCCTCTCCTTCCCCCAGTTGACTCACTGGCTGTGATTGACAGTAGCGGGAGCCAGTGGTCAATCAGAAGTGAGAGTCCCCGGAGAACCCAGGCTCTTGTGGACATCGCTGGATCAAGAGCGGGCTCAGGTAAGTGTTAAGGGGGGCTGCTACACACAGAAGGTTTTTTATCTTCATGCATAGAAAGCATGAAGGTGAAAAACATTGAGACTTTAGAACCACTTTAAAACTGAATAACAGGCAATACATAAATGTGAACTGTTTTATTTGTAATTAAATTGTATTCATCCAGTTTTGTGTTTTAGGCTCCATTGCCAGACAGCAAACATTGGCGGCTTCATTTTTTTTTTTTTTTTTTGAGAGCAATATATCTCAATTACCATTCTGCCCCCCAACCTGTAATTGAACAATGAAGAGAAAAATATCAATAAAGTCGCCTTAACGCATTTGATCATGCCATTTTTGGTGAAACGCGTTAAGGAGATGGCGGATTTCGGTGGAGACATTCTGGTTGCAGCTACTTTGTGGATGTTTCACAAAAACAACACAGAAAAGCAGAGACTGGATTGCAGCTCTCATTCATCGATTTTCTCTAATGAGCGAATGGGATGGGCTCTCTTGAGGCAGCATCCTGTCAATCTGCAGTAAATGCAAATGAGCAGGTCTGGGGTGGTGCTGTGGATTTAGGATGCTTTAACTTTAAAGAGAACCTGTCACTTTGCCCATTCTGCTTTAGAGCTTAGAAGAGGTTGATAACTTTGTTCTCGTCAAGCAACAGTGTTCAAGCCTGGCAATAGGACATTCAGGTCTGAGCACTGCATCCTGGCAAGCACATGCTTTCCCATACTTGTAAGCTTTGGGTATTAGGGTACATTCATGCACCCGCTCTCCGATTAGATATGAGAAACCCTGCAGCCTGCCTGCATCCAGGACAGATCACTCTCATGCAGTTGTTGCATGTGAATAGCTGCGGGAGCCATCAGCCTCCCATTGCTTTCAATGGGGCTGCCTCCCGCAGCTAAGCACATGAACTCCCTGTGGGGTTCTCTTATCTAATGGAAGAGCAGGTGCATTTACAAGTGTGAAAGCACCCTTAGTGGAGGCAGAGACAGAGCAACTGAGCAGTGGGGGAGCACAGGGAAAAAGAGTATTAGGCCTCTTTCACACAAGCAGTTGTTCTGCCACTTGTAAATGCATATCTATTCTTCCTAAGCGCATAAAACCATATGTTATGTAAACGTTGTTAACTCAGTGTGTGAATGGAGCCATAGGGATGTATTGTCTGCATTTAGCTGTGGTAAATAAGTTCCTCTAACCGCAGCTAAAAGCTGAAATCCAAAGGGGTCTTAGGACTCGTTTACACTTGCTTCAAAATGTGGGTTTGGATATGCCTTTTTAAAGTACTCTGAATGCCAAACAAGGCACCTGTATCTAAATAAAATGGTTAGTCTACAGTCCTGTTTACACATTGCGTTTGCTTTGCTTCAAAAGATATACCCTATCACGCTTTCACAGTGCTTCAGAGCATCTTCAACGTCTCCATAGAAGTCTATGACAAAGCTCACTGACAGCACCTGTAGCTTTTGAGAGGCTTTTATTCAGCGTTAGCTTTGTTTTGTTTTGGAGGTATTGTAGGTATGAGATATTCCAGGATGCACTGTGAGATCAGCATGCAAACAAGAAAGATGTCATCATCAGTCATTTCCGATTCATGCATATCTATTCTGGAAGTGTCTGGTGCAGACATCACATTTGGTGTGCAGAGTGTAGCAGCAGGAAGGTGGTTCGGACTGGAGCGGAGCAACTAGCAGACGGCACACATGGTGTGCAACATGGGAACGCTAAAGCAGACAGTGAGTGATGACAAGAGAGAGAAGACTGAGAAACGAAGAATCAGCAGAGCTGGCAGACCAGAGCAGTGCACAGCATGGGATCAATATAGCGGGAGGGGAGTGGGGACTGGAGAGAGAAGAGGATCAGTAAACTAGAGGGTCAGCAGGGGTGTTAATTACCACTGAGTGGGGCATCAACAGAGCTTGGGGTACTACTGGGCAGGGAGTCTGCTGAGCAAGGGTACTATCAAGCTGGGGATCTGCTGAACAGGGTACCAATGAGCTGGGGATCTGCTGAACAGGGTTACTAATACCCTGGGGATCTGCTGATTGAGGGTACCAATGAGCTAGTGATCTGCTGAACAGGGGTACTAATGAGCCGGGGATCTGCTGAACAGGGGTACTAATGAGCTGGGGATTTGCTGAATGAGGGTACCAATGAGCTAGTGATCTGTTGAACAAGGGTACCAATGAGCTGGGGACCTGCTGAACAGGGGTACTAATGAGCCAGGGATCTGCTGAATGAGGGTACCAATGAGTTAGTGATCTGCTGAACAGGGGTACTAATGAGCCAGGGATCTGCTGAGTGGGGGTACTACTGAGTTCTGTTGTGCCCCTTTAAAACAAATAGAAAATCAACACACACAGGGCATCTGCCAAGCTTTATTAAAGCTCAAAAAAGCATCTTTGAAGCATCAAAAACACATGACAAAAGCATGTTGAAGCAATAGGCACTTTATTGTGTGTTGAAGTTGAACCAAGTATACATGAACCCTTCGTGAGTTGGTGGTTGTGTTATTAACAATCTGCTCCTGATGGCAAAGTGACAGATCCTTTGTAAGGCTGCTTAGATCTAGCATTTTAGCATCCTGTTATAGGGGACAGTGCAAGGGTGTGGCTGCATAGAGAGCTTACCATATACTAGCTGCATGCTTGTCCTGCGTCTGTCTCGCACAAACTATTTGGAACAATAATGAAAGAATCTAGTTGTGGAATTAAATTAAAGGAATTAAAAGCAAAACATTTTTTTTTAGTTTTGGAAAGAGTGAAAAGGTATTAGAACAGCTGTCAGGTTTTATTGCTGTCTGTGTCCCTGTTAGGGAGATTTACCCTCTCTATTTCTCCTCATCATCACTGAAAGTAAAGGAAAATTTTATATTTTGGGGTGTCCCCAGAACAGTAATAGAGGGGAAATCTTTCAATGGGGACACTAGTTCTGGTGACAACCAGGGATTCCTTCACTTTGGAGGGATTTCCTCTCACTTCCTGTTTTTTGGCTATGGGACCAGGAAGTGAAGAGAAAACTCTGCAATTGGACACAGATGGCAAAAAAAAAACCTTACAGGGGTTATAACGTCCTCTTACTCTGTCCAAAATGGAAAAAAAAGTTTTGCTTTTAGTTATACTTTTATTTCATTTTGTTTTTGTGTCTGCCTGAGTGTATTAGCTATGGTCTCTGAAGTTTCATTCTGCTCTTAATAATTTATATTTAGGTATCTTGCTTGCACAGCTTGCAGTATTTGGAGGCTGCAGCGAAACACCTTGAAGTTACTAGCGTCTCATGGAATTCAACTGGGTCAGTTATTGGCTGTTCTTATGGCAGGTAGGTACATGGTTGGTGGAACAGAATCTTGCATGTATACAGCTACTGTCTGAGAGTCTCTCACCTGGCATCACCAATGACACTGCTTCTTACAGGAATCACGAGTAGGTATATTAAGTGGGCCGTATTTTAAAGATTTTTTACCTGGAAAAAATAACCTAATAGAATACACTTACCTTGTTTTATTTTTGGGAACACCTCGGGAGCCCCAAAATTCCAGGGGTTTAGTATGCAATGGAATCCCCGTGCACTGCTGCTACCCAAATACACACCTTGGACCAATAGTGAAGTTTGTGTTGTGAGTGGAGAGAGTGTTGCTCACACTGGGAAGTTGTACACATACTGCCTCAGGTTTGGGGGCTCCTGGGGTACTGTGGATAATAAAGTGTTTCACTAAACGTATCCTAGTAACAATGGCATTTTAATAATCACATTCTGCAGTGCTTCCCAGAATTTAATTCACACCTGTTCCTGCTTCAGCGGAGTTATTCATCTTGGCTAAAGCTGGCTTCGGCATTGAGCTGCGAGGGGGACCCAGTGGAAGGACCAGTAACCCTGTACAAAAACACCTGTCTATTGTATATACAGTATTTGTTTGGACCAGATTCAAGTTTTTAAAAAAAATTGTGTTCACACTTTTAAAAACGTTGTTTCTGTGTATGGTTAGTATTTTGCTCTGTGGACAGGTGTCTTATACAGGTAACAAAATGAGATTAACAGCACTCTCTTTAAGAGACTGCTTCTAATCTCAGCTTGTTACCTGTATGAGAGACACCTGGTAGCCAGAAATCCTGCTGAACGATAGGGGATCAAATACTTATTTCCCTCATGAATATGCCAATCAGTGCATCATTTGTTAGACATGCATTTCTTTTGAATTTTTTGTTGCTATTCTGTCTCAGTGTTACATTACACCTACCATTCAATTTTTAGACTGATCATTTCTTTGTGAGTGGGCAAACATTCAAAATCAGCAGGGGATCAAATACTTATTTCCTTCACTGTATGTAAACTGGAAGGGAGCCATGTTTCCTGATGTGCAGGCATTGTTCTTTGTTTGGTAGTATTGCACAGTGTTAGCAATACAGGGTCTGTCTGACAGAAAAGAATAGATTCCCCCCAGTCTATAAAGACACAACACCCACAATACATCTGGTAGCCTAATCCATGCAAGGCAGCCCATACGTTAGTAATTTTTTTGTTTGAAAAACAAAATGGATTGATTCTCCGATCCACACACTCGATGTAAATGTGGGAATCCTCCCCACTAAGCCTTTGTATTCTGACAGTGGGGAGACTTCTCTCCTGTTAGAATACACTAATCATATCAGGAGCTATAGCTAGCACAATAAAACACGATAGGGTGGTTGTACAGAAGTCAATTGGTCGATCGACTTCTGTATAACCAGCCTGCCCATTTATGGATCAAAAGTTGGCTAGTCCCTGCTGATCCGGCCTAATTTCGATCTGTGTGTAGCCGCCCTAACTTTCAGGCTACACAAAAGCGCTCAAGAGTAGAAGTTTACAGTTATATCAAGGAAGGTAATGTAAAATCTGTGAGGGTTCTCATTTATCCAGGTCGTGATAGATTTATTTATTTATTTATTTCAGGTACTTATATAGCGCCATCAATTTACGCAGCGCTTTACATATATATATATATATATATATATATATATATATATATATATATATTACACTCGCATCAGTCCCTAACCCTCAAGGATCTACATATATCAGTTTAACTTGCTCTGCAATGTTGAACATGTTTTGTAGCTTACCAAAGCCACTTGTTCTAATGAGCGTTAGGAAAATACCCCAGCATCTATATCCACAGAGGTAGCACTGACACCTTGATCCAATCACCATAGAAAGGCAAATGTTATGGGAGGAATGAAGAAGGTAGAACCACCCTGTTCCCATCCTTGCTGTCAGGGAGGCTTCCTATGTGTTACTCCTTCAGGGTACACAGCAGGGTATGAATTGTTGTCAAAATGCAGGAGTAGAGATGTTAACACTGCATTAAAAGTGAAAGACAGATGGTGTTGAAGACTCATACCCCTGTTCTCAGGTATGGTTGTTCCAGTTTGACGTAGATGGCTTCTTTAATGCCTCAGCATCTCCTGTCAACTTGACCCCACTAGAGGGAAAGGCTCGTACGCTATTTAGTAGGGATCCAAGCATTACCATCCTGCCAGCAGACAAGGGGAGGTGCACATTGGGTATGAATATATTCGATTTATCATTTTAAGGTCACCACTTTCCTCAGTGAGGCCAACACTTATGCGTTACTAAAGAGGGACCTCACTAGCTGGTACAAGAAAAAAATTAGAGACTGTTTACAACCATTTTTAAAGGCTAAAGCCATTGGTCGAAACTTGTACCACCATTTCTCTGATAAGGAAGATTCACCATGCCGACACAGACTCCCTAAGGCCAGTTTTCAGCAGCTAACTACTACTAGATATGTATAGCCAACAATGTTTTATTTAACTTTATATAGAGAAGGGAAGGGTTAGAACATTGTACAGTTTTTATTTCTGTTTGTTTCTCTGCTAGGAATATTCACTAATGTTACGTTTGTCACCAGAGCAAGAGGCAAGGGGAAATCTTGCAATATGGATACCTGTTCCAATGACTTATGTTTGTAAAGGGATTTCTTCTCACTTCCTGCAAGACAGAAAGTGAAGTGATATCTCTCCAATGGACCACAGACTGAAAAAAATACAGTAAAGCCGGCCATAGACAGTTTGAATCTCGGCCGGTTCAGCAGGGACTGGCTGAGATTTGAACCAAGTTTAGGCAAGCTGAATGTACCCTAGTTGATTGATCAATCACCCTGGGTACAACCAGCCTATCAGAATATACATGTGATTGTTACTAGCGGTTATTATAGCAACCGGCAGTAACACTGTGTTCTCCTGGCTCCGTGGGAGGGATTAGCACTGACCGTGTTGGTGGGGGAAGCAATTTTCTTTCCTGCCCTAGAACAAAAAGATAAACAGATCTTTATACTGTATGGGACTGAGCATCCATGTGAATAAGCCGTAAACACGGTCTCTTTTTAAAATGGTGTTATTCACATCTCTTTGAGGATACTGATTAGGAAAGTTTCTGTTTGAGCAATATTACTACTTTTTGTCCACAGTACTTCTACATGTTAATGGACGGTCAATCAGGATTTAAAAGTATTGATAAGCACATTGATTTATATGTGTTCCTTTCACCTACAGAGTGGAGTCCTAGCTATTTATTATGTACAGTATATTGAATCTCTGCTTTATTTTTTTCTCTTTTGGCGGCTAGGTTAGGAGATGGAGATTGGAGCACAGAAAAGTCTTATGTGTGTACGTGGAATCTGGACCGCCGTGGCTTCAACCCTAACCACCCTGATGTGGTCCTAGAAGTGTCTAGTTCAGCTATGTGTTTAGCATTTCACCCCTCTCGTCCATCTATTATAGCGGGTGAGTCTGACCATTTGTGGCTGTTTAACTTTACTGGTTCCTAGTGATATTGGTTTCCAGAGGCTTGGAAGCACTGTTAAACTATTTCCAGTAAATCCGTAAGGATAAAGTTACAAACCTACACCAGTCTTTCAAAAGAAGGCACTTTGGTACTGGAAATCCAGCCAAACCTGGTAAACATGTAAAACAAGGAAAATCTCAACACATGGGGAGGTCTCTAACCCTTCCTTTCTCTGAAGTTTGGTATTTTCTTACTTTCTGTCCTCTGTTCAGCAGATTCTTTTCTGTGTGCCTGGGTAACTCCCCAATCCTGGATGCACCCTACAGATTCCCAATTTTCTGCCCAAAATCAGTTTGTGAATGCCACCCACTAATTAGCAATCAATTCGTAGTATGTCAGCAGGCAATAGTTAAACTACCAGCATGTCTTTGGAGTGTGGGAGGAAACCGGAGTACCCAGAGGAAACCCACAGAGCCACAGGGAGAACATGCAAACTCCAGGCAGGTGGTGCTGTGGTTGGGATTCGAACAGACGATCCTAGTGCAGCTAGGCAGAAGTGCTAACCACTTAGCCACTGCTTTGGCAGTGCTGCATTTCAGCATAGTGGTGAAGCCCCCTGAGGAGCATGCACCAGGGATCTCGAGATGACACTGGGGCACAGAAAGTGACTTGCAAAAGCATGGCAGCCAGAGATTGAGCATTTTCAGATGGAGAGGTCAACAGTGGCAGCATATATATTTCTGTCATAAGTAGTGTCAGTTGTTGTAAACCCAGTATTGTCATTAATCCTTAGTTGCCCCCTCCATTAGAACACAGTGATTACTGCTGGCAGCTATAATAGCTGCTAGTAGTAATTGCATGTAAAACCCGACAGGCTGGTTGTATACAAGTTGATGGATTGATCAACTGTCCCTGCTGAACCATCCGAGATTTGAACAGTCTATGGCTGGCTTTAGATAGTTGATGTTATGATTCTGTGGATCATTTTGTAGATGAAACTTAAAATTAAAAATAAAGACAAATTCCAGAAAGAACTGCTTTACACATCAGTATTGGCATTATGTTGCCAGTGTGAATTCAGGCTGTAAACAGTAGATTAAGGAAAAGCAAAACCTAGGGATGCCAGCATAGCACTTCTATTAATGATGACTCCAGTTCTGTGGCTGATTAAATGCAGACAAGGCACTGATTAAAGCTATTTTAAGTGGAAATTCCATCCTAAATGTTTTTTAGTCTTGGTTGCAGTGGGTAAGAGCTGTAACCTCTTTCAATTTTTTTTATTGCTGTCTTTGTGCCCAATGCCTCACATTCTGTCCAGGCTGTTCCATAGCTTTTGTAGTCTCTGTGGGGCAGTCTCTCAAAATGTATTGGTTTCTTTTGGTTCCATTACACCTATTTTCCCATGCCCTGAGACCCCAGTTCCCGTCCCAATCTGAGGACTTTTTTTCAGCTGGAACTTGGGGGAACTCAGTTCCACCACCTCTGTCTCAGGCCCTCTGCTACCTGCTTACCACTTCCAAATGACAGCTTGTTTCCCAATGGCTTCTACAGATCTGATCTCCTGAGCGGCACTGAGTGCAGGATGGGCAGAAAAGGGATGCAGGTGCCCAGGGTGCAATACAGATGCCAACAGCCCACCGACAGTGTGTGTGGGGAGGTACTAGAGAGCCAGCTGGGTGTGTCAGCTTAATACAGCAACATAAGTAAGACGTGGAAGATGGTGAAGCTTTTAAAGAGGGGGAGAAGATGGGGCAGTGGAGAGTTGCATACAGAGGTCAGAGCTGAAGAGGGGTGAAAGTGAGATGTGGATGGGGAATTCAGAGGTATGCAGCCACGGAAGAAGTCTGAATTCTGCACTCTGCGTGTAGCGCACCCCTGAACTCTGCACTCTGTATGCAGCGCACCCCAGAACTATGCACTGTTTATGTAACCCCCCCCCCCCGTACTCTGAACTCTGTATGTAGTAATTCCCAGTATTTAATGCCCCTTTATGCCCCTCTCACTGTTAGTGAAATTTGATCACACCCACTATTTGATGCGGTTTGGAGGGTGTGTGTGTAGGGGGGTTTTGGGGGGGGGGTCGGGGTTGAGTTCCTGCACCTATTTTCTGAGTAAAAAAGCCCTGCCCAATCTTATGCTGATCTGTCCAAGAGCTGATGAGATCTCAGGGTCTTCTAAGCACCACACATCCTTCGTTCGGAATGCTCCCCATTTAGCCCACACATTTGTGCCTCAGTTTTCATTCAGTCTCAGCGTTTGACGGAGAGTGGGGCTGGGAACAGAGGGATTCAGAAAAAATTGTAACTTTACAAAAGGTTTCTGGACTGGAAATAGATCTGCTGAATAGTAAGATCTATGCACTGAGAAGTTTACAAAGACAAGAACCATTAGACTCATTTTAGTTGCTTATGTCCATATGAGATGGCTGAAGACCTGGGCCATTTTGCACCTGTGCACTGGCTACACATATTTGCATTCAGGGCTGGTGCTACCACTAGACAAACTAGGACGCGCTTCCGCCTGGGGTGCAGCCTCGGCCTCTGGTTTCCCTATTCTCCGCTATGGATGGATCTTCGGGGGTAATGGGATGGGCTACACCCCCCAGATTTCAGTTGTACCCCCCAGGTCAGTCTTTCCATGGATACAGTGCCTGGCATCTGAGTGCCTTCCCCCATCCCTGCACTCACAGCTGGGACAGGGGAGAGTAGCCTGGAGAAGTGAAGCCTGCAAAGGAGAAAAGGCAGAAGAGAGCTGGGAGATGCAGGCTTTGCTTTCCTCTCCTGTCAGTGGAGCCATCCTCCATATAGCAGATGACACAGGATCGCTCTTACATTGGCATATTCAGTGTTTGATTCATTCCCTGGCTCCGTGCTGCCCAGAGGGCAGGGGAATCAAACTGTGTACAGCCCGATCCAAGAGCGATCCTGTGTCGTGCTGTATGGAGGATCGTTCCACTGACAGGAGTGAGAGCACAGCACAACCCGCACCTCTACCTGGTTTCCTGCCTGTAAATTAGGGCTGTGGGGGGGGGGGGGGCTTACAGGCCAGGGGAACTGTACACAATGAGGGGAGGAGGGTTAACCATCATTTGTGCCACGATGAGAGGTTTGTGCAGGAGGGGGCATGGGGGCCATTTCTCTGGGAAGGGTAATGGAGATGATGTGGGGGGGGGGGGGGGGGGAATTTGTGCTAGAAGAAGGAATGAGGGGATATATGCTAGGAGTAGGAGGGAGGTTTGGGGGATGGGAAATTTGTACTAAAAGGTGGGGGGAGGGTAAGGTGGGAGGATTTTATGCTGGGAAGGGTAATTTGCAGGGGTTTTAGCTAGAGGAGGGATTTGGGGGAATTTTTCCTAGGTGGGGGGATTGAATGAAGAGGATTGGTGCCGGGAGGGGGGATTGGGGGGGGGGGGGGGTTTGTCCTAGGAGAGGGGATTGGAGGGGGTATTTGTGTTAGGAGGGGGATTGGTGGGGAATTTGTACTAGGATGGTGATGGGGGTTTGTGCTAGGAGGGGAGATTTGGGTGGGAATTTGTGCTAGGAGAGGGGATTGGGGGGGGGGGGGAATTTGTGCTAAAAGAGGAGGAGTGGATGTGTGTTAGGAGGGGAGGTGGGGGATTGTGCTAGGAGGGGGGATTGGGAGGGGTTGTGCATAGATTTAGGGGGATTTGTTTTAGGAGCTGGATTGGGAGGATACAGGCTAGGAGGAGGGATTTGGGGGAGAGGATTTGTGCTAGGGTGGAAAATTTGATGGGAAAGAGGATGTGTGGTAGGAGGAGTGCAGTAGAACTACAGGTGAATTTTTTTTCTTTTTTGGGGGGGGGGGCTGGTCTTGCCTAGGGAGCAAAATAGTTTAGCACTGGCCCTGTTTGCATCTCTCCCTGGACCACAATGGGTCATTCACTAGGCAGTGGTGGTGCAGGTGCAGAATCACTTGTAGCCTTCGGTCATTAAGATTGACTGAAGAACACGATCATTCTGCATCATCATTTAAACATTACAAAGAATATAACAGAATGTGCAAAAAGCAAATAAAGGCTACAAAAATTGAAAACGAACGACAGATTGCAAAAGATAGCAGGACCAACTCCAAAAAATTCTTCAAGTATATTAATAGTAAAAAGGTCAGGTCCGAGCATGTAGGCCCTTTACAAAATAATCTAGAGTGGGTGACTGGAGATAAAGAGAAGGCAAATTTATTAAATACCTTCTTCAGCTCTGTGTATACAAAGGAGCATGGGGGAGCATGGGGGAGCTCTTGTCCATAATGGGCATGGTATTGACACAGCTCCAGATGATTCACATTGGCTTACAAATGATATGATCCAAAAATATTTAGACAGTATAAAGGTGAATAAAGCACCTGGACCAGATGGCATACACCCACGGGTCCTTAAAGAATTGAGCTCTGTCATTTCAAAGCCATTGTTTCTAATTTTTAGGAACTCTTTAATGACTGGCATAGTACCACTGGATTGGCGTAAGGCCAATATGGGGCCAATATTTAAAAAGGGGTAAAATCTTTACCAAGTAATTATAGACCTGTTAGTTTAACTTCTATAGTTGGGAAGATACTGGAGAGTTTAATAAAAGACCACATAGACGGGTTCTTGCTTGAAAAAAATATTTTAAGCAACAGACAGCATGGATTCATGAAAGACAGAACTTGTCAAACAAATCTGATTTCTTTTTATGAGGAGGTGAGCAAAACCTTGGACAGAGGGGTGGCGGTGGACGTGGTATACTTGGATTTTGCAAAAGCATTTGACACAGTTCCCCACACACGGCTAATGTGTAAGGTAAAGTCTACGGGCTTAGAAAAATCTGTATGTAAAAGGTTAGAAAACTGGCTAAAAAGATGGTATTCAGAGAGTAGTGGTTAATGATTCATACTCTGAATGGTCTGGGGTCATCAGTGGTGTACCCCAAGGTTCAGTGTTGGGACCCTTACTTTTTGATATAGTTATAAACAATATAGGGTCTGAGATTAATCATCCCCATTTCAGTCTTTGCAGATGACACCAAGCTGTGCAGTGGAATAACGTCCTTACAGGATGTCTTCAATTTACAAGCCAACCTCAATGCACTGTTTAATTGGGCAACTATGTGGCAAATGAAGTTTAATGTTGATAAATGTAAGGTGATGCACCTGGGGGCTAAGAATATGCATGCATCATACATACTAGGGGGGTATAACTGGGGGAATCAATGAAGGATCTGGGGGTTCTCGTAGATCACAAGCTTAATAATGGCAGCAATGCCAAGCTGCGGTTTGTAAAGCGAGCAAAATCCTCTCTTGTATTAAAAGAGGTATAGAATCCAGAGAGCGATATCATATTACCCCGGTACAAATCATTAGTAACACCTCATCTGGAATATGCAGTTCAGTTTTGGGCACCAATTCACAAAAAGAACATTGGGGAACTGGAGAAAGTACAGAGAAGGGCTAAAACTAAACTGATACGAGGCATGGAGGAGATCAGCTATGAGGAAAGATTAGAGGAACTGAATTTATTCTCTCTTGAGAAGAGGAGATTAAGGGGGGATATGATCTCCATGTATAAATACATCAGTGGTTCATATAGTGAACTCGGTGTAGAGTTATTCCCCCTGAGGTCATCACAGAGGACAAGGGGGCACTCTTTACGTCTGGAGGAAATGAAATGTAATCTCCAAAGACGGAAAGGTTTCTTCACAGTGAGAGCTGTGAAAATGTGGAATAGACTCCCTCAAGAGTTGGTTCTGGCCAGCTCAGTGGATTGCTTTAAAAAAAGTCCTGGATTCTTTCTTGGATACACAGAATATAACTGGATACTAACATTTATAGGTAAAGTTGATCCAGGGAATATCCGATTGCCTCTCGGGGGATCAGGAAGGAATTTTTTTTTCCCTGCAGGAGCAAATTGGATCATGCTTTGCTGGGCTTTTTTTTGCCTTCCTCTGGATCAACTGTGGGTATAGGATTATAACTTTTTTTTTTCGTTAAATGGTTGGACTGGATGGTTAGTCTGGATTAGTCTTCTTTCAGCCAGACTAACTATGTAACTATATGCACAGCTGCCACTACCTATGAGCAATGTATAGGCAGCAATTGTACCAACAATAGTAATACTGCACATCAAGATGCAAAATAATATTCTTCTTTTATTAAAATAGCCATAAGGAACAAGTTCAATTCTGACATATTTCGCACTAGGCACAGCACTTTCTCAAAAACTTGTATAGGCAGCAGCAGTGCAGAGTGACCTCCACTTTCATTCAATCATGACTGAAGGTGAAGGTCATTCTGATCCTGTGCCGCCACTGCCTAATGGATGACTCGTTCAGGGCTGGGGGGAGATTTAAATATTACCAATAGGTAGTCAGCAGCGCAGAAGCAGAATGACTTTCAGCTTCAGTCATTCTTAACGAGTGAAAGAGTTGGTCATTTTGAATGTCTATCACTGCCTATAATTGACTCATTGAGGGCTAGGGGCAATGTAAACATCAGCAACGTATAGAAAGCAGCAACAGTGCAGGTGCAGAATGACCTTGGCCATCACTCATTCAGAATAACTGAAGATCGAGGTCATTCTGCACCGCCTCATCTGCATACACGTTGTTTATGATTACTTATGTGTATTTAGCTGGAGTTCAGCTTTAATTTCCCAATGTGAGCTTAATATGTTCTTCTCATCAGGTGGCCTTTATAATGGAGAAGTTCTAGTGTGGGATACCAGTCGGGCAGATGACCCCTTGATTGGAAGGACTGGTCTTTCCATAGACAGTCATACAGATACTGTGTACCAGGTAATCCATGCTTTGCTTACGCCCTGCTTCCTGGTAATCTGCTAATATCAAGAATATAACAGCTACCAAATGCTTGCTTTCATTTTAAGCGCAGCACTAGAAGAGTGCCAGCTAGTCTCTGTTTTTCACAAGCAATAGCTGGCCACCGCAGTCCTCTAGTCAGGGTCATCTAATCAATTTCTGATCTGTTGTCACCTTGTAGGTGAGTTGGTTTCAGGATCAGTCACAAGGTCAACGGCTGCAAGTGCTGAGCATCTCTACAGATGGGAAGATCCTCGTGTGGCAGATGGAAAAGGATGGACAGCTTGTCCTATTTGATGGCTTTGCTCTTGTTACACAGCAAATACCCAGCAACACAAAGATTAACAAGGTCTCTACACAGATGAAGCATCACGAATTTACATCCCCATAATTTGAAAACAGGAAGAAGGCAGCTATTATGTTGGGTGAAATTTTATATTTAAAGTGTTACTAAACCCACAACAGTAAAATCAGTCTGTATACGCAGTAAAGCATGCTTGTTATACTTGCTGTGGAACCTAAGGGGTTAATAATCCTCATTGTGTAAAAAGGCTGTTTGGTCCTGTCTTCTCTCATCCTCCCCTTCTTCTACTATTCCCAATCCATCTTCTGATAGTACAGAGCCCTAGGAGTCACTCTGCACATGCTCAGTTTAGTGTGTATTACTAGAGAGGTTTTTTTTTTTTCTTTGGGAGGGTGCTTGTTATCAGCACCGGGTCAATCAGCACTCTCCATACAGAGGTTCAGGGATTATGCAACCTCATAGGACAGTCAGAGCAGAATGATATCTCCTCCTACAAGCTCTAACCAGTGCTCAGTTGGACACTGATCGAATTCACAAGACTACTATATACTGCTGATTTGAAAAGGTATTTGGCATTTTATATTTATAAAAATAATTGTATTTCCATGTTGTGTGTACTGAGGAAGACCAGATATAGTAAATGCAGGGTCCCAGGTTTAGTAACACTTTAAAGGATAACTCCACTAGGTTTGAATAGCTGTGGTGGGAAAGGGGTATAAAGCTGCTTATATACAGTGGGTATAGAAAAGAATCACCTCTTTTAAAATAATCACATTTTGTGGCTTTGCAGCCTGAAATGAAGACTGACACATTTTTTGTTTTGTCCAGCTGTACCCAGTACAACTTATAACATCCAAGTGAAAGATATAACACCAACATGTCAGAATTGTTTTTTTTTTTTAATCAAAAACAGAATCACTGAGTTGGAAAAGGACCACCCCCTTGTGTCAGTATTTTGTTGAACCACCTTTTGCTTTAATTCCAGCTTTTAGTCTGTTGGGATATGTCTCTACTAACTTTGCACATCTAGACTTTGCAATATTTGCCGGCTCTTCCTTGCAGAACTGCTCAATTTCAGTTAAGTTTGATGGTGACTGTTTGTGGACTGCAGTCTTCAAGTCATTCCACAAATTTTCAATGGAGTTTAGGTCTGGGCTCTGACTAGGCCATGCAAGGACATACACCTTTTGTCTCCTTCAAACACTATGTGGTCAATGTTGCTGTGTGCTTTGGGTCATTGTCATGTTGGAAGGTAAACCTTCTCATTGACAACTTTCTGTCAGAGGACAGCAGATTTTACTCAAGTAAATTTGATGGGATTGTTCATTCCATCCTGACAAGTGCTCCAGTCCCTGCTGCAGACCCCCCCCCCCCCCCCCATAATATCCTGATATTTCCACCTCCATGCCTTACTGTAGGAATGGTGTTATTTGGATGGTGAACTGGATTGGATTTCCACCAGACATATCATTTAGTGTTGAGGCCAGATAATTCTATTTTAGTCTCATCTGACCATAACACCTTTTTCCATGTGGCCTCAGAATCGTCAAGGTGCATTTTGGCAAAGCTCAGTGGTGACTGCATGTGGCCTTACTTGAGGAGCGGCTTTTTTCTTGCAACCTTCCCGTACAATCCACATGTGTGGAGAATTTGTGATATTGTTGTCACATGCACACAATGACCACTCTGTCATAAATTCCTGCAACGTTACTGCTTCAGAGTTGCTGTAGACATCTTGGTAACCTCTCTGACCAGTTTCCTCCTGGCTCTTTCAGTTTGGAGCAACGTCCTGATTCAGGGAGGGTCTGTGGTGTACCAAATACTTTCCACTTTGTAACGGGGTTGGCTCGGCAGCAGGTGTGTGTGACCCCCTGGATGGGTGCACAACACAAAAAGACAGGCACAGCACAACAGTGGAGGTGAAAACAAACAGGTGCAATTTATTTACAATATTTACATAAAAATGGTAAACCAAAAAGAAACATCAAAATAAATCCTGGCCAACTTGGCTACTTACTGCAACAGCTTTCCCTAGCTACCCACTAGGTACAGCCTGCTGCTATACCTAGTTGCTAGTACTTGGAGGCTAACCACACAGGCTTTGGTCTCTCTGCACACAGATAACAGGTCAGCTCCCCAGACAGTTCAGGCACAGATCTGGTTCCAGGTTGGAGCAACTCCCTAAGCACTCTGGGAAGTTTTATACAAGTCTTAATGAGCCCACTACCTTCAGCTGGGCTCATTACCTCAGTGCTGAAGGACTCAACACTTCCCTCTAGTGGTACAAATCCCCATAAAGCCTGAACCTCGGACAAATATATCGTCCATCCAGGACGCAACCAGGTGATTTCACCTGCTTACTGTCACAACTTCTTAAGAATAGCCTTCACTGTGCTTCTAGGCATTAATAAAGCCTTTGACTTTTTTTGTATCCATCTCCTGACTTGTGCCTGTCCACAACTTTATTATGGAGAGCTTTTGACAGTGCCTTGCCACCCTAAGTTAATTGTTTGCTTCAGTTGCACTGCCAGGGATTGAAATGCTCCAGGAAAGCTCTTTTCATGCTGAGCCAATCAAAATGACCACAGCTGATCACATTTTAAAGTCAAATGGCCTGAATGAGTTTACAAGTAATATTTGGGAGGGGGGTGATCCAGTGATACTATTTTGGAATTAAAAAAAAAAAATTCTGGCATGTTGGTGTTTTATCTTTCACTTGGATATTATATAGCTGGATAAAGCAAAAGCTGTGTCTGTCTTTATTTCAGGCTGCAAAGCAACAACATGTGACTATTTTAAAGGGGTGATTCTTTTCTATACCCACTATATATGTATAAATAGGACTTCCCCTGTTCATTAGTCTGGCAGCCCTGTGCTATGTATTTTCGGGTCTCATCTTTCTCTATTCCTTTGCCTGTGTGCAAAATAAATCCTACAATTGTTTATGGCATAGCACTGACTGAGGGAGCTGGAGGGTGATGGAACCCAGAAATTCATAGCATGGTATAGGTGTTGAACACTTCACATGAAGGATGACGGCAGTTTTACAAGAAATGTGGGACATGTATTTGAGATGTTTGCTTTCGGTTTTACTTAAATAGGGAGATAATATGGAGGGTGCTATTGTTGACCTTCCATTGAAAAAACCGGCCGAGGAGGAATTTAGCATTCCCAGAAGGAAGTTGACAATAAGTGATACATATTTTCTCAGTACAGGCTTCCTTCAAAGAGTCAACTCAAAAGCAACATGTTATAAGTGGAGTTTGGTGGGCCGAGTCATCCCCTAGTTTCTTGGGTTCTCCAGCAAAGGGATCTCTTTGATCTGTGACTTTCGTTTTTGACCACCCAGGAGTGATGAGAGTGTTGTGTGTCCCTGCCCAACTTCCAGCTACTCCCATTTTCTCACGAAGTGAGAAAACACATACAACCTTCACATCCCAAACCTGCACTCATATCCTATTTATGCAAAAGAAGAAATTGAGTCACTTTGACATGCAAAAATATTTTTCTGCTGTTAATGGAAAAGAACATCTGAACAGTGAAATCACACTACATTGTTGTTTGTGGTAAAAACTAAAACATGGCTTCCATTCAGCTGGTTAAAGGTCTGATAAGGTAGCCTCCCTCTGCCTCCACATACTCTGAAAGCAGATTGTAAAGCTTGTAACTGAACTTCAATATTCTTTTGTGATACTTGTTTCTTGACAGCATGGCCGAGGTGACACTGCAGTGGGTGTGATGTGTCTGTCCTCCTCCCACTTTGACCCCAGCCTGTTCATTGTTGGCTCTGAAGGAGGCTACTTGTTGAAGTGTTCTTCCACAGCACAGACAGTGGCCCTTACAAATGTGGCTTCCTCCGTTCCTCTTAAAGCTCCAGCTCAGTTTACCTTCTCCCCCCAGGGAGGTCCTGTGTACAGCGTGGACTACTCACCTTTCCACAGGTGTGTACCAGGCTCAATATGTTGCATTGTCTGTTTTTAAAGCCTGTAAGCAGTATTGTCTCATTGGAAACCCCATAGGTCTCTGGGAATCCTTTGTTGGGCATGAAATGTATATTTAGAAACCAAAGACTGTATGTGTGTGCTTGGAGGTTTTTCTTTTTCAATAGGTCTGTTAAATATACAGCAATGCATGTTTTCTCTTTTTTTTTTTTTTTTTTTAAAAAAGAAGCATGCTGAGCTGCAATATCTAGATTTGTACTAGTTATGTAAGAAATAGTACTTCTACCTTTAAATGCAGTAAAATAGACAATTGAAAAGGGACTTTTTTTAAGGGTTGGTACACACCAGTCACTCATAAATACATAAAAACACATAAAAACACACCAGTCACTGCATTGCAGGGCAGCAGTCACTGTGCAGTGGGATCCAGCTGAAGTCAGCAGAGTGAAGATGTGCTGAGCTTGGCAGATCACACTGGTTCCTAGGGTTTTTTTTAGGGTGGGGGGGGAAAGGGGTCCAATGTTTGTTTGTTTGTTTTTTTTTATTATTTTAAGTTGTTGTTTTCCCATGCACATTATAAATATAATTTATGAAATATTCCAAAGACATGCTGGTAGGTTAACTGACTCCTGTCTAAATTGTCTGTAGTATGTGTATGAATAAATGTGAGTTAGGGACCTTAGAGTGTACGCTCCTTGAGGTTAGGGGACTGATATGAATGTACAACATATGTAAAGCGCTGCGTAAATCGATGGTGTTGTATAAGTACCTATAATAAATACATAGAATGCAAACATCCTGGATATGCAGACACTATCTGTATTCAATTTGTTTCCTTTTTTTTTTTTTTTTTAACCACTTGCCACCCAGCCACTGTAGAAATATACGGCGGGCAGGGCGGCACTCGCAGGCAAAACCATGTTTTAAAATGTGTGTTTTGTAAACAAATAGGGCGACGGCGCACCTTGCGCGCGCCCCCTATCTGTCCCGCCGATCACCACCGCAGATGTGAGTCGCCGGGTCACAGCCATTCCTTAGCGGCTGTTTCCCGGCAATCGGCGGCAAACAGTGACAGACAGCACAGCTGCAGTAGCTGTGCTGTCTGTCACTTCCCTGTCAGCTCGAGGATGAGCTGATTGAGAAAGAACAGTTTCTCTTTCTCGATCAGCCTTGTCCCGCCCAGCACACACCCCCACCCCCTAGTAAAACACTCCCTCACTCCTATAACCCTTCCCTGCAAAATAAAGTTAACCCCTTCCTCCCCATTGCCATTAGTACAGTGTCATTGTTTTTGTTTTTTTTTGCACTGATCACTGTATTAGTGTTTTTGGGGATGTCAGTGACCCCAAGTCAGTACCCCCCAATGTCAGAATGTCCGCCGCAGTCCCGCCATAAGTCGCTGGTCGCTGCCATAAGTCTCTGATCACCGCCATAATTCGCTGATCGCCGCCATTATTAGTATAAAAAAACCCTAAAAATCCCAGTATCTTTCCCGCCATTTGTAAACGCTATAACTTTCATGTAAACCAATTAATTTACACGTATTGGGTTTTTTTTTTAGCAAAGACATGTCTCAGAATGCATTTTGGCAGAAATTTATGACTAAATTTGATTTTTGCATTTTTTTTTACTGGACATGTTTTATAGCAAAAAGTCCAAAATAGTGTTTTTTTTTTTCCTCAAAATTGTCAGCCTTTTTTTTTATAGCGCAAAAAATAAAAACCGCACAGGCGATCAAATACCACCGAAAGAAAGCCCAATTTGTGGGAAAAAAAAGGATGTAAATTTAATTTATGTACCGTATTGCATGACCGCGCAATTGTCTGTTAAACTAGCGCAGCTCTGTATAGCAGAAAAATGGTGTAAATTGCAGTATTTATACCATAGTTTGGAGACGCTATAACTTTCCACACAAAGCAATCAATATACACTTATTGGGATTTTTTTTTACCAAAAATATGTAACAGAAATCATTTTGGCCTAAATTTATAACTAACTTTGAGTTTACTATATATTTTTTATAGCTGAAAGTAAAAAAATATTGTTTTTCTTCAAAATTTTTGGCCTTTTTTTGTTTATAGCGTGAAAAATAAAAAGCGCACAGGTGATCAAATACCACCAAAAGAAAGCTCTATTTGTGTGAAAAAAGGACGTAAATTTTGTTTGGGTGCAGCATTGCATGACCGCGCAATTATCAGTTGAATTAGTGCAGCGCCGAGTAGCAAAAAGAGGCCTGGTCATTAAGGGGGGTAAATCCTCTGGAGGTCAAGTGGTTAAAGGATGAGTTTACCTTTCATAACATGTTACACCCATATACAGGGACCAAAGCACCGGCCTCTGCTCCTCCCCGCTTTGACAGCTACCGGAGGACTGCGTCACTCATGCACAGTCCTCTGTAAATAGGAAAACTACATGTCCCAACAGCCGTAGTAGCTGTTGGCTTATAGTTCTCAGTGAACTACCACGGCGCTGTGAGCGTTGTGGTAGTTCATTGATTCTTCCTGTCAGAGTGTATCGGCTTACTCGTATGGGTTGTAGAGGCAAGCAGATATTTTGACAGGTCTGCAGGAGTCCTGCATGGCACTAAGGACCTGCTGATCACTGGTGCAATGCTTTACAGTCTCCTGCAACAAAAAAGAATAAATGCACATTTTTTTACCTAAAAAAAAAAATGCATTTAATAATTTTTGTCAAAAGGTGAACTTATCCTTGACAAAACTTTTTGAGATGTCATAAAGACATCTCAAAGTTCAATTGCCAGCTGCATGGTGCGAGGCAGTGGATTGTCGAACGCTGCTCAGATAAAAAAAAAAGTACTACATGCATTTTGCCTTGTCCATACGGTGGGACTGCGCTGGAATAGCCGCCCAACACAATCCCACTGCATCTAGTGTGAATATACCATAAAAAAAAGAAACGTTTGACTTGGATATATCTGGTCTTCTTGTATACCAGCTGGCATGTCAGTACATAATTGAGATATCAGAAATTCAGTTTTCCCTAGTTAAAGTAATTTTTTAAAATTTGTATTTATTTTTGATGTGTGGGAATTTTTTTTTTGCCATCTGTGTTCCATTAGGGAGATCTCCCTTCACTTCTTGTTCTGTGGACACAACAGGAAGTGAGAGGAAAGTTCTCCAAATTGAGGATAAATCCCCTCTTAACAAACCTGAAATTACCTAAAAAAAGTCTCTGTTGGATGAATTTCCTTTTATTCCTGTTTTGGTGACAGCTGGATGAATAGAACAAACAAATCTCTCCAGCGTGGACACAGACAGCAATTCTAGCCTTGCAGGGGTTCTAACCCTATCATTTATTTCTCTAATCTGATCAAAACAAGGAAAAAAAAAATGATTTAGCTTTAGATACATTTAAAGGAGATAAGCCATGGCAGCTTATGTATTACTCACTGCAAATTTAATCACACTCACGTTATAAAAAGACTGTATATTCTAGTTCGTATCATTTTACATGTTTGTTACATTCTTAATAGCACGATTGGCTTATCTTCAGCTAAGCTGTGATCACGATTGTGGCTCATATTGTGTGAACAGTGAATGCCATTTGTTTGTCATTGTAGGAATCTTTTCCTGAGTGCAGGCACAGATGGACATGCTCACCTGTACTCCATGCTGCAATCAAAGCCTCTCAGCTCTCTGCAGTTGTCCCAGAAGTACCTCTTTAGCATCCGCTGGTCCCCAGTGCGACCCCTGGTATTTGCTGCAGCCTCAGGTGAAGGTAAGAATGTGTATAGAGAGGCAGTAAAATAAAGGGCTTTTATGGATCCTGGTATGTATCCAAAGGGCAAAATAAAGTGCATAAATCACCTGACTTGGATGGAACACTCCAACTGCAAACTGGTCAGAATCCTGAGCAAATGAAACTAAGCATAAGAAACAAAACCAAAGGTTGTCAACAGTAAAAACCATATGTCAGAGTGATCTGTTGCCAGCTGAATTAAAATGGATTTTTTTCACACTTCCAATAACAGTTTATTTTGCCCCGCTCTCTCCCAAGCCTCCCTGTTGTTCTTTTAATGTGATAGGCAGCCTTGGTAACTAATAAGGGGGCTCAGAAGGTGGAATGGGTGAAGCCAAGCTTTTATTTTTTAACCAGCCTGCTTGACAGAGGGGACCTCTTGCAAGGTGTTACACTTTTTTTCTGTAGACCTGACCCCCCCCCCCCCCACCCCACATTCTGACTCCACCTCCTCCAGAAAAAGGTAATGGGCAAGTTCACTGTAATTTGATGCATCAGGAACTTTGAAATGTAGTTAAGTAAAATACTCATCCAGTCTACTCTACTGGATCATGGTCCTCCTAGATGGGTGTGGACTTGAATTCAAGAAATTATTGTGTTGTCTAAGGGTAAGTACGGGCGGCACAGGATGTGGCTTAGTCGGGTTAGGACATCTGCCGTGCAGTAAATGGGCGGCACATGGGCTTTGAATTCCCAACCATGGCGCCTGGCGCCCTGCATGTAGTTTGCATGTTCTCCCTGTGCTTGCATGGGTTTCCTCGGGTACTCCTGTTTCCTTCCACACTCCAAAGACATGCTGGTAGGTTAATTGGATCCTGTCTAAATTGTCCTAGTTTCATCCCTGGCCATGCGGGATCTCCTGCATGGTAGGGGTTGGGGAAAGAATTGGCAACCTTTCCTGTAAAATAATTGCTAAGTGAATTCATGGAAAACGTCGCTTAGGAGTGACAGTCCATGCAATTGCCAAGGGTTGGATACGACTGAATGGATAGATAGATAGAAGGGTAAGTACACCTCATGTACAAAGTGTACATACCCCTTTTAAGCCTTGAAGTGAGTCAGCATTGCGCTACTTTAACATTTTTTCTATAAACAGATTAACAGAGGCTAGCCTCCATGTTTTGCTGAATGCAGCTCTTTAAAGAAAGCAGCAGGAATCAGACTTTCTATGATGGTTGCAGCAGAGGTATGAACTGTAGTGTGGATATCTTCTGGAAACATAAAAATCGTCAGTGATCAAATCTTCTTTAACTGTCAGTTTTCAGCTTTAAAAGATATCTGAAAATGCCAGTTGCCTGACACTTATGCTCATCCTCTGACTTCAGTATTTCCTAGGTGACTAATTTAGCAGAAGTATGCAGATTAAGATTTGACTTCAGTGTTTGCATGCTTGTTACTATGGTTAACACATTATAAAAGGAGGTCAGACATTGAGACTTTTAAAAAAATATTTCCTACAATATCATTCTCAGTATCACTGCACCAATTCATGCAATGTCTTTCCTCAGGGCATCTGCTGCTTTTTGACCTTGGAAAAAGCTCCCAGAAGCCATCATTAGTTATAAAGCAGACAGACAACGAGAAGCCTGTTTATTGTCTGGAGTTTAATCGTGCACAAACCCGGGTCTTGGCTGCCGGGGATGGAACTGGCACAGTGAAGATATGGCAGCTAAGTTCTGATTTTACAGAGCAAGGAGTCCGAGAGGTGAACCTACTGGATGATATGGCCAGCAATCTCATTGACTGAACCAGAGGGGATATTCCAATTCTCATACCTGTACTATATGTAAATAGACTAGATATCAATAAAAGCTCATTAAATTAAATTTTATTTTTTTTTTAAGCTTAACTTTTTTTTGTGATCCCAGTTGAAAGATTTTCCTTTCCTGTCTTTGTGACTCTCGTACCAGAAAGCAATGAAACCACTGACAAAATTCTGATACTGCTCCAGTCTACTAACAATAATTTTACCTATCATACTGCCCCAAACTACATCACTGACCTAATATCCAAGTACCACCCAACTCTCACTCTCTGCTCCTCACAAGACCTCCTTCTCTCTAGTTCCCTGGTCTCCTCCTCCCATGCCCGCCTCCAGGACTTCTCCAGGGCGTCACCCATCCTCTGGAACTCCCTACCCCAATCCATCAGACTATCACCTACTCTCCTCTCCTTTAGGCGCACCCTGAAAACCTACCTCTTCAGGGAAACCTACCCCACCAGTTAAAGATAGTTATTTAGAGGTTGTAAAATAAATTACCATATCACCCGGTAGATGGCCTCCATTCAGTAGCCAAAAAAGACATGCAAAAAAAGGGGGGGTTGTGAAAAGAAATTCACAGAGAAAGTGGCTACATTATGAACAGAATGTGATACTCAGAAAAATTTCCAAAAATTATGCTTTATTACATATACAAATTTGACATTTGGGCAATCGCCCTGGTTTACCATCACCTCAGTATGAGACAATACACACAGACCTAAAACCATATAAAATGACACCAAGACCGGTCTAAATACATGTGCAACAAAGACAGTGACTACTAGAGTCTAAAGTCTTTGTAGCACTGGCGCATAGGTGAACACTTTCCACAGGAGGTGTATGCAAAAATTATACCATAGGTATACCATGTAACATGTTGTAAATATGTAGACATATGCTACTACCAAAATGGTTATATCCCAAACAGGGAGTTTCAAAAAATTATACTATAGATATAAAATATCACATGTATGCAATGCAGCAAGCACAGTACGCGTCAAAAAGAGAGGCATGCCTCTAGGCCTATATGAGACAAAAAAATGAATGTCATATATAAAATGCAGTACATTCCTATGCCGGCACATATGGTTGGGGCCCATTCATCTGTAATATAAGCGACTGTTTCCTAGGGCTCTTAAATGAGAATAAGCCCCATTTGTTACCAGGATGGAAGGATAGATGCAAATAGCAGAGCACTGCTTGAAATGGTTCTTCACCACTGTATGTGGACTACACACCACTTTCTATAAGGAAAACAAGACAAATCCCAATAGATCTTCTGCCTGTTGAGATACACGTGGTATATCCTGTTTCCTATGAAAAGCACCATGATGTCCCCATCCTGTAGTGAAACAGACAATATGTGGAAAGTCACTGGAGGAGCTTTCACTCTAAATGAGATGTATAGGTCATATCGATCACATAGGACCATATAACTAATGTCCTGTAACAGTCCACTCACCACCTGCGCAATGGATAATAGGAGAGGAAAAGATGTCCTTCATAAGTACTGCCATGCAAGGCCAGAGAGGCCAGGGAACCACCGCTGACATCAGCCGATCTACCGCGGGTTCCGACCTCTTCTCGGCGCCTGTGCTGCTTAAGCTTGCCTCATGGCATGTGAAGATGGCTTCCTCCTTGTAGGTCAGCGTGCGTTCCACCTAGTGCGCATGACCGGAAGTGACGTATCTGACGTATGACGTCAACGCGTTTCGCCGATGGGCGTATCTCACTCAGCTTCGTCAGGACCAATGAGATTCCTGCATTCCAGTTTTCTATTTATAGTGGGTTAAGACCCACCCATTTATGCAAAAATTAACTTGCAGTTATTCCCAATGGAAGAAAAAAAGGGGGCTAAATACTTAGCACAGCTGCTGGTCATTATTAAATTCAATTAAAAGGACAAGCGACTGGAAATATCAGAGAGAGGAAAGGCTTGGCAATTTCAACAATGCATACACAAATCAAAAGACCATAGATTATATATACTAATCAATTGGAAAATTACCACACTTTCACCAGGAGATGGCGATGTTAGTGAAAGAATCACCAGGCCTATTCATTAAATCAACAGTTCCTAAGGGTACAGTATGAATTACCACAAAGCCACCACAAGATGGCAATGTTAATTAACAAATCTCACTGTGGATTATTTTGCCAAAGATACCTAGACTTCAAATACCCATTTAATGGTATCATTATTATTAAGGGGGAAGGGCATAGTTAGCTCAACAGTCGGTCCTTTTACGTTTTTAGACCTATATTCAAATTTATACCATCAGGTCATCAATATTTCCCAGATGCCAAAAGGTTTGCCTTCATTATTTGGCATATAATTCACCCATTAATGAAGACAGAAAAATGCCATAGATCAACCAACGCATGGCAATATAAGGATACATAACTATGTAAATCTATTTATCCAAAAATACTTGGAGATCACATTCCACATTTAACCCCTTTGGGTACATTGTATCAAGTTTATATATCCAATATTTCTCCTTTTTTAGCAGTTCTCTGTCAAAGTCACCTCTCCTTTGAGGAAAGTGCAATGCATAGAAACCTTTCACTTTTGTGCCATCCAATTTACCTCCATGATATTTAGCATAATGTTGAGCAAGATTGCTTTCAGGATCATTTGATCTAATATCTCTAAGATGTTCACCTATTCGTACTTTAAGTTGTCTTTTGGTCTTACCAATATACATCTTTTTACAGGGACAAGTCAAAATATATAGCACTCTCACTGTGGAGCAATTTATAAGACTTTTAATTTTATAGTGAGTGTTATTTCCTGAGTCATAAAAGGAATCCGTACGGTCCACATATTTACAAATTTGACATTTTCCACATTTAAACATCCCCTTAGTACGTGATTTTAACCATGTTGTTTGTTTAAAACGGTTGATAATCAGAATGAATAAGGAGATCACCAAGATTTGGTGCTCTTCTTGCTACCATTTGGGGGCGTTCACCTACAATCTTATTCAAATTTGGGACATTGAGTTAAAATCTTCCAATGCTTTTCTAATATTTGTTTTACATCTTGCCATTGGGCTCCAAATTGGGTTATCATTCTGACAGGTTGATCACTTAATTTGACCTTCTCATCCTTTTTGGGAGATAATAGATCCTTACGGTCAGTTTGATATGCCCGTCTCCGAGCCTTTCTAATTTGAGAGTGAGAGTATCCCCTTTCCTAAATCTTCTATAGAGGTCCTGGGCCTCCATCCTAAAGTCATTAATGTTCGAACAATTTCTCCGACATCTCAAAAACTGTCCCACTGGAATCCCTGAAATCAGTGAACGTGGGTGGTAGCTTCTGGCCTCTAATAGGGTGTTGGCAGCAGTTGGTTTCCTATACGTTTTTGTGAGGAGTCTTCCGTTCTCAAGTCTAATTTCCAAGTCCAGAAAGGAAATACATCTTTCATCAGATAAATATGTAAGTCCAATGTTAAAGGAGTTTTGATTTAACTCCTCCATGAAAAGTTTTAATTCCTCAAATGTTCCTCTCCATACAAGGAACACATCATCTATATATCTTAGCCAAATCTGGACATTAACAAGAAACCTTGATGATCTGAAGACAACCTGCTCCTCCCAGAAACCTAAATGTAGACATGCGTAGGCCGGAGCCCACGGTGCTCCCATACTAGTACCTTTAGTCTGTTGATAAAAGGTATTATTAAATTGGAAAAAGTTATGTCGTAATGCAAAGTCCAACAACTCACTAATAAATTCATTCTGTCCTCCTAAAGTAGGGTATGTTTTATCAAGGAAGTAAGAAGCCAATCTCACACCACATTCATGTGGGATAGAAGTGTAGAGTGATTCCACATCTATTCCCACTAGAATGGAATTTTCATTGATAATCATATTTTCAATCTTAGCCAACACATCTTTAGTATCTCTTACATAAGAGGGGAGATTAGGAACCATATCTTTGAGAAACAGATCTATATATTTCCCTGTTTTATCTAGGGGACCATTAATGGCAGAAACAATCGGTCTACCCGGAGGATTTTCTTGATTTTTATGTATTTTAGGGATAATATAAAAGGTAGGATAGTTAAATTCTTCAGTTCTCAGATATTCATACTCTTTTTTGGTTAACAAACCCACTTCTTTTCCCAATGTTAAGATGGAATTTAATTTTTTTGCCACCACATGAAAAGGATTAGTGGCTACTTTCCTATATGTAGATGGATCACTCAATAGGCGCTTCACCTCTTTAACGTAGTTTTGTTCATTTAAAATAACTACATTACCCCCTTTGTCACTTCTCTTAATTACAATATTCTTAGTCTCTTTTAATTCTTTGAGGGCTTTTCTTTCTTTTTTTGTAAGATTGTCACCAATTGGCATTTTCCACTCAAGATTTTTAAGATCGTCAGCAACAAAATCTAGAAATGTCGAAATCCTCATGTTGGAACGTATTTTCGGCATTTTTGTCGATCTAATATTCAGATCAACTTTTCTAATCACATTACTGTGATTATCCAGATCTATTTCGTTCTCATCACCATCCTCACTTTCCTCCATGAGAGATATCAACATATCGAGCATCTTGCGGTCCTCCATGGACGAGTCAGAGGCCATATCCTCCAAAATAGTGGGATTACCATGTATCATTCTCAAGAAAACTTTTCTTAAAAATAAATTGACATCTTTAAATACCTCGAACTCATCCATGGGGGTCACTGGTGAAAAGGACATACCCTTATTTAATAAAGAGACATGTTCCCTTTTGAGTGGAAAATTAGCCAAATTGATTACCTTTTTGTCATGAATACTTCCATCTACTACCTCCTCTGACTTCTTGTTCTGCCCTTGTCTTCCTGATGTTTGTTTTTTAAGGATTCCTCTACTTTCTTTTTGGATCCTCTTCCCATCTGTAATTGATTGGTGCCAGGAGGTTCTCCATCTTGTTGATCTAAAAAAGAAACAGATTTCCCTAGATTTTCAGACTCACTTTCACTAGACAT